ACATTTATGTATTTATAAAAAAATTATTAACCAGTCGAGAATTATTTGTAAATCAAAGTCTACTTAGTTGCTGAACGAAGTACATATAAATCTTACAGGAATGTAAATGTATTTATTATTCAGTCCAATTTTAATTCCTTTTTGGTGACATTCACAATCTTCGTATGTGTATATTTGCAATAACAGTAAATGTAGTGACGGAAGATCGGCAACACTGATTGATTGTGACATATACAGTTAATGGATATTCGAGCACACACAAAAACGTAAAAGGAGCCCAAAAATTTTACTGCAGCGCAGACAAAAAGATTCAATGCAGTTGCAGTTTGACCCACTTTCGTTCCCAGCACTAACTCACACACACATGCACGCATGCACCTATACACGGTCAGACGGCCCACAGAAAATGCATAAATGGGAAAATTTCGTGCATACTCCAAAACAAGACCAAATGCAGCTGTCACTGTCTCTGTCATTATTTTTGTTATTATTGCGATTCATACTCAACAGAGCATTTCATACTCTCTCATTTCTTGTAAAAAAATTTAAGGACAAAATTGAATTATTTTTAAAGTAAATGACCTCATACAGACACAACAAGCAACAACAAAGCTACCAGAGGCGCAGCAATGGGAACGTGAGCTGAGTAAACTAGTTTTAGGTTATGTTTGCGCTTCAAGGTTGTGTCGCAGCAGAGGATAGGACATTTTTGTTGAACGTGTTCGTGCACGTGCGCGAGTCTGCTGCGTTTTTGCTCAGGTAGCTGTTGTTTCATTGAACTCTAGAATTGAAGCCAAAAACTCCCTACCTACCTAAACGGCCAGCTGCGATTTCGCAACAAAGGCCAAACGCAAAAGAAAAAAAATAATAATAGATTAATAAAACCACTGTATGCAGGTGTGAAGTAAGCAGCACCTTGCACCTTGATTTTAATTCTAACAAAATTGATAACAATAACTCTCACAAAAACAAAAAAATTACCAGCAGACAGAACGCGAATATACGCACACATACACACATACGAAAAAAAAAGCACCGCCAAAAGTGCGTTGAGCTGTATGCGTAAACCGCGTGTGTGAGTCCGAACAAAGAAAGCAATAAAAAAAAAAAAGAGCAATATTTAAACAAACTTACAAAAACAAATGAGCGCAGCCACTTTTAGGTTATGACTCGACAAGCAGAAACGATAAAAAAAATGCCACTAAAGCGAAAATTAATACGTTTACCGGTAGCAAAGAAACAGGAAAGTATTTCTATTTGTCGTATATGTAAGTCAGTCAGTCGATTCATTTAATATTTGCCACCCCAACTGGAATTGATACATTTCTTTTTTCCTACGCGTAACTATGTAAATGTGCGGCGGCAGCATGTGGCGAACACCGGCAGTTGGTACTCACCTTGGTAGCAGTTGCTCGATGTCTGTTTCTAATGCACAATATTATTGCTTATGTGTTTTATGAGGTCTTAGTTTTCCTTTTCGCTGTTATACTCCGTCGCACTGGGATTTCTTTTGTTTTATTTTTTATTTTATGCTTGTGGTGTGTGGAGTTTGTATGCGGCCTAATTTGAGAAATGCTGAAATATATATATAAGTATCTATATATATGAAAATTTAGTTTATACTGTTATTTATTATTGATGTGAAGATACACAGGCACACGCAAAACATACACACTCACACGCGAAGCTTGTTGGTTTGGAGCAGCCGCTTTATTCTGCTTCTTCCTTTGCCGTCGTCTGCTTTGTTGCAATTTTTTGTTCAAAAATTACAAATTTGGCAATTCTTTTCGCACATTACTTGCTTGTTACTTTAGTTGTTGGCAATCACAGTTAAAATATTAAGTTTGAATGCGTTGTTTTTGTTTAATTTATGTAAAAAAGAATCGCAAACGCAATGAAATTTAACAAGTGTTGAATCAAGAAGAGAACCGACGTTTATTCGTTCCCCTTTTTCAGTTTTATTCTCGGTGCATTTGCGTTTGTGTATGTGCGCTTTTATGATGGCGGCGATGTCGTGTGTCTCAGTGTGACCGCAAATCGCGAATGGAACATAACCAAGCATTCAAAAGATACCAAACAAAAAAATATACGTTTTTAATTTTAATAAAAAATGTAGTCGTCTAATTAAAATAAAATTAATAACATACATTTTTGTACTAATTGGCAATGGAAAGCAAATCTGGAGTATTATATATTCTTCCACTAATTCGTGCCATATAGCGTTGCCAGACTGCTTATATTTTTTTACAAATATTCGATATTTCATTTACTTTATTGCTAGTAAAATTAAAAAGAATTACTTAATATAATTGTGTTTTATTACTTATGGTTGATTGGTATTAAAATAGGAAGAATAAAAATATTGCAAAAATATATTTAATTTCGGACTATCAATTCATTCAACTTGCTGGCAACGCGTCTACCATATACACACGCTGTCTCTGAATTTGTCATTTTCCGGTCGTCAGCGTTCGCGCGAGTTTTGGCGAGTGTGCTAAGAAAAAGATTGCTGAAAATCGCTAAATAGTGCTATTTAATTAAGTTTTAATTGACAATAGAATAAACATATACACCACCAACCAAAATGGCAGACAAACAAGTCGATAGCGAAATGAACGGCGAAGATTTCACCAAGGATGTTACCACCAATGATGTGGCGAGCCCTGAAAATGGTGAATCGACTCCCGCTGCCGGTGCTGCAAATGGCAGTTCTGAAAATACAGCCCCTGCGAGTAACCAGCGTGATGACGACAGGTATTTTAAGTAAAATATTAGACATCCAATTCGGTCGGTAGTCTGACAGCCTCAAGCGCATAAAAATCATGTGCCTAAATACAGTTTTTTTTTATTACCACCTACTCTTTGTTGTTACGTAAATGCAAAGTTAACGTCGTCGTCGTCGAGTGTAAAAAATGGTGTTTGACGTAGCGGTGGCAGCGGCGGGAGTTAGCGCGCCGCTGACGCTGACCCCTTCAGTATTTGCGCGCGTGTCTGTGTGCGACTGTACTTCGCGCACAATAGCCCGTCGTCCAACTAAACATGCATAGTTATAATAATAGAAGCTGTCGGAAAATTTTTGATTGCCTGTTTCTAGGAAGATATTAATTTGACAGATCTAAATGTATGACGCGTCGTATTTCATTATAAATTACGTTTTATTTATTATTGTTATATTTACATTACTGTGTATGTATGTACATATGAATGTATTCGGAAATATGTGTGTCTCTATACCATATCGATACTTATAATTGTATTGGCAATTTAAACAAAAGCACAAAAATTCCAGTCTCAACAAAGATAATTGAAGCACATTTCCCGCAGTTGTGAGGTTATGTTGATCAGACACATATTCATACACATCTAGGTACATATTCAGAAGTATCCATGTATGTGTATGTGTATATGTATGAGTGTATTCATACAGCGAAAGACGCAAAGCGTGTGCTATTCCCTCCTTCAAGCCCCACGTTTGTCCCACAACTGCCTGCCTTTCACTTGTATGAAGCTTTGTTTGTATTCGTACATATGTACATATTTTTTTTTGCAATATTTTGTGATATTTTTCGTTCGTTYGTTTTCGTGCTCTTCCAGTTTTGTACCCAAAATGGCGGTTTTTGTGTTTGCTACGCAGCGCGAGCTCGCTMCGTGCGTATGTATGTATGTATGCAGTTTCTTTCGTTTTCTCAACATTCATTCCGTTTTGCTTGCCGGCTTCGCGCTCTGCTGTTGCTGAGGCCGTCACTATGCCGGCAGTGTTGTCGAGGCAATTCAAATACTACAATATTGTACCTTGTTTTTTCTTTTTTTTAATTTTCTTTTTTGCCCGCTTAGATACATATTTGTTTTTTGTTAAAAAACATGCGAGATCCATAGATGTTTAAAAATAATGTTGAAGGTTGATTATTGAATACTTTTCTACTTCTTATTTAGTTCAATTGATTTAGGTCGAGTTTTAACTATATGTCATTTAATTGCATATTTATTAATTGTTAAGTTAACTTTAAGTCACAGTCTACCAGTTGTACAGTAAAGAAATAAACAAAGGAAGAAAATTAATTAAATGGAATCAGCATAAAGCAGATGGAGCCATATCGTGTGTGATAATCAATAATAAACAATAAAAAAAATCCAAAAACAAATTCATAGCTTATCCTGTTGTGTTTGAGCGAACTAACCTTGTTCCTCTCCGGCAGGTCTTGAGAGAAGTTAAAAGCCATGTTAAGCTATTCTCAAGCAGCCGTGGCCCAAAGGAATTTACCCAAAGGATGCAGCGTGTGAAACGGATGCCGGCAATGTTGATGATGGTATTTATCTAACCAAAATAATACAAAAAAAAAAAAAAAAAAAAAAAAAAACCAAAACTTTGTACACACAAAATTATCAACAAATTATCTCGAGTTCTCAATTGGATCCTAAATAATATATTATATATCTCTATATACAAAGTATAATGCATTTTATTGTTTACCAAAAATTAAAGAGAAAGAAAGACAGAGAGAAAGAGAGAGAGACTCGCCTTTTTTGTTTGTTTTTGCCTACTTAAAGAAGCGCATCTGATGAACGTAACGTAACGATATTGATAATGATACCGATAACGACCCCATATATACCGAATCGCAACCGATAACGAGTCTAAAAACGTTTCATATAATGCCTACACGCGGTTACCGTCTAACTTTTCCACACTCTAAATTCCGCCGCCGTGATGAGATTGTTCCAAATTGCATTCCCCCGCAGTGATATTTCATAATCTTTATGAGTAACGTACGCCAAGAATATTTTAAGTGTATCAATAACAAATTATTTTTTTCTTAAATTTAGTTCAAATAAAGCAATTGCATAAATTTAAAATCAGCATAAAAATCCTTGCATTTTCTCATATTTAGAAATAAACAAAAAAAAAATTTTAATGTATTAAAAAACAAGAAAAAAATCGATATTTTTATACTAAAGCTAAAAATTCACTCTGCATATATTTATATATATTCACATATTATTCGCCCGTTTTGTGACTCTACTCCCTCGCCGTATCTTTCGCTCAGTTTTTCGATGCACATTTTCGAACCTTGATTGAAAGTTTAACTAAATAAAGTACAGTAATTATAAGCTCTATATTCACTTTGAATTTGGTGAGTTTACTTTCTTTATTTTTTTATTTTCGTCTTTTCTCTTGCTCCGACTCTAATTTATTTTTGCAGCTATTAACAAAAAAAACAAAATCGTAAGACAAAATGTAAAGTAACGTTTTTGTAAGCGCCAAATGTGCGGGCAGAAAACAAGTTCAAAATATTTTCTGATATGTGCAAACACAAATTTTCCACACTCATAAAAGAGAATAAATAGTTTTTGTCGTGCCATTTTTTCCAACTTTATGAAACCAGAGTTTTCTGTGTAGCAATTATGAATTTAATTTTGTAAACGGTTATATTTTTAATAATTGAACTAATCAATACTTTTTCCGTCAACTTTCGTAGGAAACTATTTGTTGGTGGACTCAGTTGGGAAACGACTGAGAGTAAGTATATATATCTTTCATATTATTGACAATTAATTAATATAAAAATTCCATTCGCTTTGCAGAGGAATTGCGCGATCACTTTGGCAAGTTCGGTGAGATCGAGAGCATCAATGTAAAGACAGATCCTCAGACGGGCAGATCACGCGGTTTCGCCTTCATTGTGTTCACAAACACAGATGCAATTGATCAAGTGAGCGCCGCTGAGGAGCACATCATCAACAGCAAGAAGGTGGATCCCAAAAAGGCGAAGGCCCGCCATGGCAAGATCTTTGTCGGTGGACTGACCACAGAGATTAGCGATGAGGAAATCAAAACCTACTTCAGTCAGTTTGGCAATGTATGTCTGCTTATTAATTTAATTATGTAGAACAAAACTTATTGACGCTTTACGTTGTTCTCACAGATTGTTGAGGTGGAGATGCCATTCGACAAGCAAAAGTCACACCGTAAGGGCTTCTGTTTCATTACCTTCGATTCAGAGCAGGTGGTTACCGATCTGCTGAAAACGCCCAAACAGAAGATCTCTGGCAAAGAAGTTGATGTGAAGCGCGCAACACCAAAACCTGAGAATCAAATGATGGCCATGCGTGGTGGAGCGCGAGGCGGTATGCGAGGTGGACGAGGCGGATACGGACGTGGTGGTCAGTACTATATATTAGTTTTACACTGTTTGAGATTTACAACAATTCTTCTAATTTTCATAATTAATGTAGGTTATTCCCATCAATGGGATGGCCAGGGTTCGTATTCGGGCTATGGCGGCTATGGCGGTTATGGTTCCGGTGGCTTTGCCGATTACTATGCCGGTGGCTACTATAATGGATATGACTATGGTTATGGTAAATACAACAAACAACATAATAATACTCATAACAATTATTACAATAACCCAACGTCAAGTAATTATCATCAAAACAAGAACAATAGCAACAACTATCAGCAGTTTTAATATAGCCAAATGCAGGCAACAAACAATGCAAATGAAAGCAAAAGCAAAAACAAAAACAAAATCAAACAAACAACAACTACAACAATAAACAAAAAATGCCATGATACAACATTTTGAAAACAAATTTCCCTTCTACCATACACAAAAGAAAATTATATATATATTTATACATTGTTGTTTGCCGTTAGCAAAAGAGACAAGAAACAAACAAAACGGAGAGAAAAACAAAAACAAACACGTTTTGCTGCATTTCTAAATAAGAACTTAGAAACACAAGAACATCCAACAACAAAACAACGTCGCTAAAAACAAGAAAACTTTTTAACTACAAATATATAAATAATAAAAAAAATATACAATATATTTTTAATGCCTAAATATAAATTTTAAAATCATTTTTAAAATTGCAATTATATGTTGATAAACATAATTTTATATACATTCAAATCAATAATTTTATATATGAGTTTATACTACCATAATTATTTTTAAAGTCTATTCAACAAAAATGCATATTTAAATTTTTAAAAGTCTTAAAGTATAATTTTAAAACAAGAATTCATTGAAAAGCTATCTATTTTTCAAGAAATTTAAAATCAAATATGATTTATTAGTGGTTTAGCATTTAAATATTATATAAAACTGACGAAGCGTGTGTATTAATGATTGTGTTGTTTAAGAAGCAAAAACGAAAGTTAGAGAAGCGTAGCGAGAAAGCTAGAGAGAAAGAGAGAGCGCGAGTGAGAGATAGAGATAGAGAGAACGAACGGAGAAGAAAAAGTAGACGGGAGCGTTCATCCCCTACACTTTGTAATTATTGTATACCAGACCAGACCAACAGGAACAACAAACAAAATTAAGAACAACAAACAGCAATGTGTGCGGCCGCCAGAGGTCGCTTTCAACAGACTTTCCAAAGATGACAAATACCTCAAACGCGAAGGCAGCAGCAACATCAACAACAACAACATATAGAAATGAAGACAGCAACAATCAGATAAGAACCTTAAATAACAAACAAACGAACACATAAACAAGATCATGTGCCAATTATGTGAAACAGTGTGAATCGCCAGCGTTTTGGCCTTTTGCATAATTGCAACTTGTGCCTTTAATTATTGTTAACTAACTGTTATTGTTTGAACAAACTGAAACCAAAAGCTGTTGACACACTCAATATAGGTACCACACACACACCCACACCCACACACCACATACCTTCACAAACACACACACACACACACACCCACACTCACACAAACACATTCAATCATTCATATTTATATATGTATATATGTAAATGTGAGGATCACATTACTCCATTATACCCGTTATCTTTATAATAGTTATTTAAATAGTTTTTCCATTTTGTTTTGTTGAACAAAACGCTAAACGAAAAGAAGAAAAGCAACAAACAAACAAACCAACACACATAACCAACAAACGAAACGTGTAATCAAAGCTTTGATTCAACTTCTATTTAAAATATATATATACCTATATATAGCATATAAATATATTTTTAGATGTATATTATTATTATTTCGGCAACGAGATAATATCTACGTTTTTGCAATGCATATGTTTTCGTATGCGAACGTCACTATATATGTGTACATAACATATATATATACATATAGAAATGTTGATATATATATGTGTATATATGTATAAAATAAATATACAAATGTTGTATGTATATTTATGCATAATGATCACATTTTTACAAATGAGTACTATTTTTGATAGTATTATTTTAAGGCAAATCCTTGTAAAAACAACAAACAACAACAAATACCAACAACAAACACGCAAAAGCAACGTGACGTCAACCAACTTTTAGGGCCAGGCTTGAAGTTGAAGTTGGCTTGAGCAATTGATTATAAATCGATTGCTTAAGTCGATTCCCACGTCCACTTTGGCCTCGTCCTTTAATATGTTGCTTGACCAATCATTCTTTTATTTGCATTTCTGCTTTTTGCTTTCTTGACCAAACAAACAAACATGCATTTTGCTGACAAAAAGAGAACAAACAACAGTCCAAGAATAAGAGACAAAATTAGCAAAATTACAATGTGAGAAACATTGTAAACAACTGATGAAACGAAACAAACGCATGACATTCATTCACTTTGATTTGAAATGTAACGTGCGCACGCACAATGCGGCATTTGTTGATAACTAACTAACTAACAACAACAACAACAACAACTAGAGCGACAACAACTTTGACAAACACAAACTATACCAACAACAACAACATCAGTTAAAAACAACAAAATCAATGAAAATGTTTAAATACAAAACAGTAAAGAAAAACCAACACACTTCGTCAATTTTAGTAACTTTAATTAATAAATTTAGATAAATATTAATATTTCTTATTGTTCTTTTTTTTTTTAAAGTATTAAGTACAATAATTCACAATTATACACATACATACATATACACAAACACACACACACACACATACATAAATATTTGCATATATCTCTTATGTTAAATTTTGAATGTGGAATTCAGACCAATACCCTTTTAAAAATTATTGTCAATATAAACCATTCAATTTGACGTATCACAATACATATATACATATTTTTATGTATGTATATATATTTTACTAAACAAAAAATAATAAGATATGCATAAACTTGAGTAAATTATTTTAAAATTTGCATGTTTCTCAATGTTTTTAGCTAATAGTCTATGCAACATATTAAACAAAAATTTAAAAAAAAAAAAAAAAAAAAAAAAATACATATATGATTATTATAATACCACCATTTATATTACAAATTTATATTTATGCTATATTTTATATACCAATTATGCTGATTCGTAATCATATAACAATGTTTTACTGTGCAACAAGTTCTTTTTTTATACAAACAAAATACTTTTTGTATATTTTATAGCAATAATTATGTGCCCACTTTATATTAAAACTATAACTACAATATATACATAATTTTCTTTTTATAATTTCTCAACTAACCTATCACCAACAACAACCAATATAACATCTGCCAATGGGAGCCATAACAGAGGGCGAGCGCTGTTAACATAACATCAGCTGTTAATATACGAAACAAATGTTAACATTGCGCTAGTGACAAACTCGTTATGGGCCCCAAACGGCAGTTTTTACAATTTAAATGTTAGAGAAATACCCAATTGTACTATTTTTATTAACTCTAAATATTGTTACTTTTTTAATTATGATTTTTGAACTTAACGTGTTATATATTTACATTTTACAATATATCTATTGTAATGCCGAATTTTCCGATGTTTCGCCTCACAAAAATACTACAAGAAAAAAAAAATCACTTAAAAAGAGAGTTAAATTCAAAACATACAACAACCGACTACTCTATACCACCACTACCAAGCAAATATCCAAAAACGGTCTTGACCAATTTTCCATAAAACTTTCGTAACAGTTACCGGCTAGTGGTAAATGGTTATTGGTTAACGGGTCTCTGGTGTTTTGTCTGTCTGTGCGTCTGTTCGACTCAGAAAGCAATATCCAAGAATAATCACGAAACGAGATACAGACTAAAACAGCAAACAACCTGCAACCAACAGCCAAGAACCACCAAGTACCAAAAGAAACAACGACTACACAAAACAACAATTATTTCATTTCGCTTAAATGTAACGTATATTTTTTCTTATTTACTCCTTTTTATTAAATTTAAAGGTTATATATTTACAAGTAATTTAGCGTAATTAATATCTGTTTTTAGTCAATGAATTGAAAAATCTAAAAAAAAAGAAAAATAATAATAATATATACATTTAAAGTAATTTTAACCATACTTGAAAAGATATTTTCTGAAGCAAATTTTTTATCAATATATAAACAGTTTTCTTGTTTTTAACAACATATATTACAACACTAAGAGTAAATGATAACAATACCAATATTAACTCGTATCAAGTCAAATTTGCTGACAATTTGCATTTGTTTTTGTTTTTCGCAAGACGTTTTTACAATACTAAAATTTTGCGACAAGTCCCACACGAACTTCCACCCGCCCCCGAACCCGAGTCCCAATCCCCTTTGAAAAACTAAAAAGAAAAAAATTAAGAAAAAATGATTATAAGAATATAAATATTTGATTACTTTTTGCTGAGGTGAGACATTCAAACACACACACACAAGAGCAGCAGATTTATTCAGTTTAATTTTTTGGCCATTCAAATGAAATTTTTTGTCAAAAAACAAAACCAAATTTTCGGAAATTTTTTAACGAAAAGTAAAATCTAAAATTGAAATGCTGAAATTGTTGTGTGGAAAATGAGGTAAAAAAGAAAATTAGAACATAAAATGCATAAAGAGTGCGTCAAAATGAGAAACAAATTGAGAAATGAATTGCAATACATTGTGAAACATGTTTATAAGTCAAGAGTGAACAACTAACTAACAACATATACCCAGAGACAGCAGCAAATTAAGAGATATAACATCTGAAATAACAACAACACCAACAACAACAAAATCGTTCCGCATGTATGTGTGAGCGCCGTGTTGCGCCTGATTTTTGTTTCCCCACACTCAAATGAGGGAAATAACTAGATAGAAGGAGATGAACAACAACAACAACAACGAGACATGAATGTGTTTTTAAACTAAAACATTTTTTGTAATGCCTGTGCAAGAGTAAACAACAACACCAACAACGACAACAAACAGCAACAACAACATCAGCAGCAGGAAAAGTAGCAGCCGCAACAGCAGCCGCAGCCGCAGTCGCAACAGCAAGATCTACCAGATTAGATCATAATTTATACATTATTGATCTACAGTAGCAATCATTTAACAGCCAATCAATCTTATAATCAAAATCCGCAAATCGAGAAATGAGCAAATAAAAGAAAAAAACTAAAAAATTGTGTGTTTTCAGTGGAATTCCTTTTCCAGCTCTCTGTGGTGTGCATTTGAATTGTCTCGCCTCGGCGCGGTGTCGCCTCCAACAACGTACCCCAAAATCTCGCCCCAAACCCGAACCCAACTCCACACCTACACGTACATCTAGAACCATTCCTATCTCTGCCCACAAATTCTTAAAGAAATTTTGACCAAAACCAAGCAAAAACCCATTTGTAGAAAATACATATTACATATAATTTTTTTTTAAGTCTAAGCTTTGTTTGTGCTCACGATCAACAACAAATTTTTGTGTTTAAACCCCTTAAAAAAAATGTATCCAAACTCTGATCTATAAACAAAGACTACGGTTATGGCGGCGGCTTTGATGGTGGCTTTGGCGGTAATGGCTACGGGAGCGGCGGCGGCGCTGGCGGGCGCGGTGCCGGAGGTCCGCGCGGCGGTCCCAAAGGTATGCCACAACACATGGCCGTAAAAATAAAAAATAAAAATTGCAAAAAACAAAAAAGAAATCAACCCCAACAAAATTGAACTTTGTTATCTCCCATCCCATTTGTTATCTTTTTTCATGTAAGAACTATTATCCCTGCCTCTAGTAACTATTTATAACTGAGCATTTGTTACATTTCTTTTTGGTACTTTTACTAATATTTCCTTGTCTTTTATTTCGAGCATCCTCCATTTGGAGTCCAAAATTCTGTTACTAGACATTGTTTATCCTTAGATTTGGTCAAAATTTTCATCAGTCGCTTGAATCGCTTTGGCGTTGTAGTAAATCCTAAATCCTTAAACCAAAAACAAAGTGAACAACAAATTTACCCCAGCAGCACCTGTGCATGCCAATTATACAACAATCATTACTGAATCCAATCGCCAAATGTATCTCTAATTATTTTGTATTCAATTTTCTGAAACAGGCGGCGGCGGTGGCTTCAACGGTGGCAAGCAGCGCGGCACTGGACGCCAGCCACGACACCAGCCCTATTAATCGGGCGGCATTTGGAGCCCGACATCTACTTATAACTGCAAAACTATTTGAATTTTACTTAGTTTAGTTTGTTATGGTAAGGACGATGGAATTATTTCTTAAGATTCAAATGTCATTGTAATTGATATCCAATTTTAATAGTATACAACAAAATCAACAACTACAATAACAAGGAGAAGAACACACATACATACACTTTCGCATGCGCATCTATAAACTTCTATAAAGCGACTGCTGGGCAGAACCCGTATTCCCATGGCAAATTGCAGTCCAGAGGAACAGAAATACAACAACCATACACACTTTGTTGTGTAGCACCATTCCAACAACAACATCAACAACAAGAACAACAACCAAAACTACTATAGCAGAAGGCAGAAGGCAATTACATGTCCACAAAGCATCTATATATAAAAAAATATATATATATATATACATATACACGCAGCAAGGAAGAGAGAGAACTTAGAGTTAGGCTTGGAGAGATGTAATTTTTCAGCATGTGGCTAATTTTTCATAGCCACACGCTCGTTAAGCCAGCATTGCCCACCAAGAGAACCCACACTGTACCACATAACATTATGCCACACCTACTTATACTGTATGTGTGCGTAAGAAGAGTGTGTGTGTGGGTGTGTGTGTGTGTGTGTGTGTGTGTGTGTGTGGGGTCAAACTAATTTGTTTTTTCTCATGTGAAGTCTAATACATTATGCGAGGTAATTGTTTAACTTGTAAGCAGGGTCAAACACACATACATACACACACATACGCATAACGAGATAAATACAACACACATACAACAAGCTACACACACAAACACATAGAGATACGAAATTCAGAAATCATATACGGCAACCATGTTTAATAGTAACAGTAAATACATTATATAAAATACAATAGTCGTTAAGTATTTGTTTAAACTTAATTAATTAATAATTGTAATATGTAATACATAATAATTATTATCATAGTGCAACGCTAGGCAGCTGGCGCGCCAGCGGTGCGGGCGGGCGATCTTTGAAGCGGGCAACCGCCGCGCATTGTCCAAGTCCGCATTCAACTACAACAAACAACAAATCCACCAAATTACAAATAACAAATGATTTTTCCGATATAAATGGTAAACGTTTTTTGTGTATGTATTTGCGCTCATTAATAGTCTATAAAGTACACATATATATATGTATATGTATACAAATTAAAAGAGAATTTTATATTTTAATACAAATCTAATGCAGCATGACAAGAACAAAGTAAACAACTATTAAAACTTGCATCAAGCTCTATAATAATGATGAATAATAAKAATTATTATTAAATCCAAACTGAACTACATAATGTATAGTTTTTTCCACGAGACTATTGCGAGTATATTTGTTAAACCTAAATAGGCATATATCTATATATACCTACATATAACTCTATACAAATAACTATAGCTATATAAAAAAAGAAAACAAAACGAAAACCTATTGAACAAATGTTATGCTAAAAAGAGAAGAAAAAAACAAACGTCCGTAAAGAAATGAAGTATGTCAAGATAGCGTAGAATGGGACACAATCGGTGTAGGCGTGGCAGCACCGTGTTCAGTTACCAGCTGCACATTTGCAGTTAATTGATATATACATATATATATATATATCTAAACTAGCAATAGTAGAATTTTCAGATTTGCATTCTACTTCAGATATTTTTACATCCGCTGCTGCTCTTACGGCAGCAGCTAATCGAGTCAGCCTCAAGCTAAAAAGCGATCAAAGCAAATGTTTCATTTCACACTTAATAATAGTTATAGTACATTCTGAAATTGAATAAATATTTATGTTTACCTTGGGATTTCAATATGGACCGGAAAATTCAAGCAACAAGTTTCAATTAAAAAAATTAAAAAAAAAAAAAAAAAACATCAAATAAAGCAATTTTTATTTACACATTTACAAACATGCTCAAAATGGGATTTCGATGTCGAATGCAGAACGCAGGGGACTTAAACGTATACGGAAAATTTTGCACTCACAAAAAGCGACACGGGGAATTTTTTTTGTTAATAATTACGCTTCATCTGGCCAGTGGCATAGAGCACGTCCAAGATTTTGAGGAACTCGCGATAGTTGAACTCCAAGCAGAGTCCGCGCTTCACAGCGAAACACTTGACAATCGCCTCGAACTCGCGACTGCTGAGCATGTTGTGCATTTCACGTAAGGTGATGGCGCGCAGGAATTGGTTCTGGGTGACCGAGCCGCAGCTCTGGCGATCGAAGTCCTTGAACACCTGGCTGAGGTTGGAGATCTCGTCGGGGCGTCGGGCGAGCTTCATCAGCGCCTTCGAGCAGGTGGTGCGCTCATCAAAGTTGAGGAAGCAGTCGATGCAGTCCAGATTTGGCAAGTGCAACAGCGGCACAGCCGTAACCAGCTTGTCGCCCATATTCGTATCGTATTGTATAAAGATCTCGTCCAGGGCTTTGCAGAAGTCCTTATACATGATGCAGGCACTGCGAGTCGGCGAACGGAAGCTACCCCAAAAAGCAACCCACATTGAATTGAAGGCTAGTGTTTATGGGGATTCCTAAATCTACTTACACATTGCACAAGATGTTGGCGTCCTCCTCGCTGAGTATGACCAAGGCATTGTCCAGGGCGCGCTTAAAGTCGCTCTCCAATATCAGTCCCTCGCGATGGCGATCGTAGTCGACCAAAAAGTCCAAGACCGAAGCACCCTTGGTCAGAGCCTGTCGCTTGGCGCTGGTCAGGATGCGCGTGATGACCTCCTCGCTGGCCTGCTCCGGCGCCTTGTTGTCGCGCGGGAACGGCGGGCACTCCTTCTGATCCTGCTTGGCCACCATGTTGGGCATAGCATACTCGGCCGGGTCGACGTCCTCCAGGAATTTGGTGTAGTAGAAGCCCAGCTCGTTGCCATAGCGATGCAGCACAGCATTCAGTTCCGCATCGGAGAGCAGTATGCCATTAATGCGAAAGATCTGATTGGCCTGGTGACAGTTCACATGGCCACAAAATAGTCTGGCGGGGTAAAAGAAGAAAGAGGAAGTAGCATACGCCTTCACTAGGCATTCGCTTTGTTACTCACTTGTCGTAGTTGCGGAAGAATGGATGCAGATATAAGCGACGATTGCGTATGCGTATACGTATCTTGGCTATGGCCTCCTCGCACAGCTCCCGCACATCCATTGGGGCCGCCTGCCAGTCCAGTGTGCCCGGTCGTGGCATCTCCTTGATATGCGCCAACGGGGACTCGACCACACACTGCGGCATCTTGTCCAGATTCTTCATGGTGAACACTGAATGGAGACAGAGTGGTTAGAGATTTGGCCAACTTTTTTTGAGGATATCATGCTGCTCATACCCGTATCGATTTCATCGACAAAATTGCGCCAGCGTATGCGATTCGTGTCCACCGGATCCACGTAGCGATCCATCACCAAGTCCAACTCACGGCGCGACAGATACTTGCCCACGCCCATGAGCGAGAGCCCGCGCTCGAATTGATTCTTGGTGATGCAGCCCACCTGCAGCGCATCGAACTTTTCCAGGAACTCGCAGGTGCGTATACGATTCTTATACACATAGTTCTGTATGCAGAATATGATATCGCATTCGCCGCGGTTCTTCTTTGGATGGTTACACGTATCTGGAAATATGGGGTGTATCATTTGGCAGCCATTGATCGCTGGCAGTTGTGACAGCTCCAGGTCCACCAGGCGACCCGGGAAATTCTCAATCAGATCCTAAATGGAAAGAGCTTATGTACTAACTGCATTCAAAGGCAGGTCTAAACGAATCTTACTCCCGAACCGTCAAGTAGATTGTGCTGACGCAAGTATTCAATAATATTGTCAATGTGCTTGAGAAAGGCCACATAGTTGACCAAATAGCCGTCCTTCATGTAGCGCTTGAGCAATAGCAAGTAATCGGCTTCCGATAATGGTATCTTCATAAAGTGGAGCACGCGCGAGAAGTGCGAGACGGTCACTACGCCCACATGTTGAGATACCTATAAATAAATTGTAGCTTTAATTTATCTTTTGAATAGTTTAAACATTTGGGGTTCCAGAAAATATGAGGTTTGGTTGTAACTCGAGATTAGCGTTAATGTATGTACTAGGCAGACAGATTCTATAAGCCAAATATTTGCTTGATTAGCATGATCAAGTTTAGTTGAATCAGTTATCGGTCTAAGTCCGTCCATCTATTCGCCCTTTTATATTTCACCCGTTCCTCCGCCATTTTACCTATCTTAAAATCTGTATTTCGAATTACTCTTTCGTTCTTTCCTTCTTCCCCCTTCTTCCATTCATTCGACTGCAAAATTGACCACTTGTCTGTCCGTCCTTTCGACTATCCACTTTGACCATTTGTCTGTCTGTCCGTCTGTTGGGTCGTTTGCTCTTTAGCTTTAGCATCCGTCGATTCGCTCACTTATTATTACAAAATGCATTGTTTTAGTTTTTAGTCGAAAAACAAATGAAAAGATTTTGGATACACTGCTAACTGACCAATTCGTAGTCCTGAAAGTAGGGCATCAATGGCAAGTGGGTTTCCTTGGCTATCTTAAACAATATCAAGCATAGCTTGCGCCGCTCTTCCGGCTGTACAATGACATTCAGATGCCAGGGATCATTCCACTCCAGTCCGGTGGCCAGTTCCTTGTCGGCAGTCTTGCTTAGATCTATGAAGCGAAAGTGTTACCCATTGTATCAATGCAGAATACCAATATGCACCCACTTTCCGAACAGACTGTCTTGCAGAACTGGCGATAGGCGACGCGTCCATCGCGTATTTGAAAGTAGTCGGTGACATCCTTCAGCTCAAACTCTGACATGCCCACCACCTTCCGGTACTTGCCCAGCACCGATGTGAATATAGACTCTGTCGGGGTCGTAAAAGGGACATAAAAACGCGGCAAGTGCATTGAAATGTGGCCAAAGGCTGGCGCTTACCCGAAACATAGCCGGTGCAGTCGGGATCGTGTTGCTTTAAATCGGCGCAGATGTCAAAGTTATAACGAAAAATGGCGCCTTGGATTTTACGACAAGCGCGCCAGATTTGATTCAGTTCCATCTCCTCCTGCATAGGTAGGTAATGTATAGACAAGGACCAGGGAGGGGCGGTGAATATATTTCATTTCATGTGACGAGCATGTGGCGCCAACTTCGACTTACCCGCTCATCGCCCTCCTTGATCTTGGTCGTGTGCATGCTGATGTGCAATTTATGAACTCTTTTTTATTTTATTTTTAACTGTAACTTAATACAAATTGTAAATAATAAAAACATCTGCTGAGCAGAATAAAATCAAAGCTTTGCTTTAAATCGTTTAGACTACACAATTGACATTGTGTGCTGTGTGGCCTTGTGTGTGTGTGAGTTTGTTTTGTTTGTAATGCGACACTGAGACAAACACACACACATACACACACACACACAAAGATATCATCCAACATAAGAAGGACAACGCTGCAGCACTAATCACTTCCTCCTCAGCGTCCTCCTGGCTAGAAGTGCAGAACAGCGTCATGCAATCACGCGCTCATTCAACGAACAGTTTGTCGTTATGCCACCAGCACTTTTATTCAATTTTCTATAAACGACGCAGTAGAACATGAAAAATGAAAAGAGAGAAAAGAGAAAACGAGTAAAAGCTGCGATTGAAAAAAATAAAAAAAATAGGGAAAAACATATCCTGGCATCATCAAATGCAATTTCATTTTTATTGGAAAATCACTGGGCAACTAACCAAAGAAACGCTTGAAGCACAGGAGTCAGGCAACTGGACACAGACACACACATACACACGTACAGAGTGAGCCGCTCACCTGGCCAAGCTGATTGGCAACGACAGCTGCGCCAGTCACCTGCATAGTTCACGGCGGATAAGTAATGTTTATTTAGGATGCGCCCCGTTCTTGACTACACTACGCTACCTTGATTTACTTTATTTTTTGGTTACACTATTGTTTATTGAGCGTGGCATCGAGTGGATTGAAGTGGCACTAGCGATTTGCAACAGTTGCTGCCACTGCCACTGCCACCGCTTGATGCCTCGACGTCAAGCCACCTGACCTCATATAGCCCACATGCTTGGCGGCCACTTAAATGTGTCTATATATATGTATACACATACCTATGTATGTATATATGGCAGCATATCCTTGATAATCTTCATTGATGCGTGCCAAATTGCACTTCAAAATCGTAACGTCCGACCGCTTAGTGAGGTCATCAAAATGAATTGCAATCATTATCGTTGACTTAGATGAGCTTTTGCCATCCGGCTTGGCCGTGCTCACCTTTCTGCAAAGTTTTATTGCACATTTTTGATTTACTCAGCGTGTTATTTGCTCTGGAGCTGAGAGCGGGGGAATGCCCATTGGATGGCTGTATATAAACCTATACATGCATGTGTATACACATATTTCTATATACATGAGTGTGTGTGTGTGTTTGTTTGTAGCTAATTTAAAATTATACTAGTTTTGAGCGCCTCAATGGCATGAAGCATAAACAGATGGCTGTTGGCTCACCTGCGCTTATCGCGCACAAACAAATGGCGTTTTGTCAGTCCGACTTTGCAGCATGCTTACTAGTTTTTCCTTAACAATTTTCCTCTTATTTTTTGTTTTGTATTTTAATTTTATTTTTCCTGCACACACACACAGAGGCAGACAAAATGCTGGCATATATTCATGAACCTGCTGTACATCTGCATAATAGATGGCAGCAGGCGGCGGCAGGTGACGGCACTTGGCGTACATTGCCTTTTATTTTAGTGTTTGGCTGGCTAAGTTCGCTGTCTGTGCCACTACTACTAGCTGCTTTTTGGGTGGCAAGTTTCACACGCACGCACACACACACACACACATACACACTCACACACCATGGAGAAAAAGGCAAACAATGGCTGGCAACCTAGTTATCGCCCGCCATCTTTATTGCATGCAAATGTGCGAAAGGCGGCGGCGGCGGCGGCGGCAGCAGCAGTGTCGGAACAGGAGGCGTGTCTGTTGAAATGGCTGACGTATATGCCATACGTATACGTAATGCACCTTTGCTATGCCTTATAAAACCAACCGCATGCATATTTATCTTTAGTCAGAAGCAGCCAAAGCCAAAGGCCCCAGAATGTGTGTGTGTGTGGCATGCATGCATGCAGACATGCAAGCTGAGTGTATGCATGCGTGTGTGTGTGTGTGTGTGTGTATAAGAAATACGATATCTTAAGTGTTAAACAGGCGCTTTGCCAAACAAACTCGCACTGGCTCCAGCTACAAACGAGCCACTGCCACCTTATCTACGCCGCCCTGCCACGCCCACCTCGTTGCAATTGCAGTTGTCCTCGTTCCCGACTCGGAATTTGAGAAATACATATTTGGCAGCGAGTAGAGCCCAAAAAAAGAAAAAAAAAAAACACAACAACAAGAGGGAATACACAAATACAAATAAAGCAAAAAAATGCCGAAACTACGCCGCAGAAAATAAATAAAAATGCTGCTCACTTCTGCTGCGGCGCGTTTTATGCGCACTTGAACACATACACGCACATACACATACACTCACATTCATACACACGCACACACCATGCACGCACGCATACAAAGGCGCAAACAGGTGCTCCTGGCTCACCTGGCTGCCTGTTTACCTGGCTTGTTCTCGCCCGCTTCGCCTTTCATCCTTCGCCTTTCGTCTTTCTTTGGCCAGGAACGAGCTGCATTTTTATAGTGCATAGATTCCGGCGCTGCTTATAATTCAACGCCAAAGTTCAGAATGTTTGCTCAAGTATTTATTTATGTACTCTATGCCCATCTCACTCTAGCTCTCTAGCTCTCTCGCTCTCTCTATCACTCCTTACTTCTCGGCATATATTATTTCCATATGCAGAAATTGTGGGGTATATTATTTGTAGACTTTTGGGCAAATGACTTGGGTAAGCAGCATCTGGCATCTGCTCGTAAGTCAATATGGAAGCCAAGAAATTGCCTGCTCTTTGTGATTTTGGGCAAAAATACAAGAAATTTGGGAAATATATTTCGAATAGAATATTTGATGCAAAATATGTGTATTTTATACCAGAAACACATACAAGAAATTTCTTGGAAATTTGTTTTGGGCAGATAAAATAATTGTTTAAATACATACAAATCTGAAACGGTATTTTCGTATATTTACGAGGCCTTTTTAGACTATTTAAATATATTTATATATTTAGATTATTGAAACAAGTCTGAATCAAATTGATTCGGGCATTAGAAGTCGAGCGTATTTCAACAAAAGTTGGCCGAAGTGGAAGGATCTCCTGGGAAAATTCCCACTGGGGAATTTTGTATCAGTGAATCTTGAGAATTGGGGAAAATTGATTGTCCATAAAAAATCATCCTACACCAAGACAATTCGATTTTTTACATAGCGACTGACACATGAGACACAATTCCAATTTTGTAGAAAATAAATTTTGGGTATTTATGTATATTAAAAATAAAATGTGAAGTTCAAATTTTGTATCCACTTCTGAGTTGTAAAGCTGCTCCATAAGACTCCATAAGTCTCTAAGGGGACAATTTGGACAAGATTAAAGTTATTTCGTTATTATTTTGACTAAGTTTTTATTATTGTTAGTTTCAATTAAAGTCTATCCTTGCATTATCACGTATACATACATAGTATATCATGATCATACTAAGGAGTATTTCAGTGCAGGACTACCCTCCTGTATATCTGTGGCATTTCGCACTTAAAGTCGTTTTTGTTGAATTAGTTTTGGTGTGCGGGTTAAATGAGAATGCATTGCCCTCATGGCTTGGATTTATTTTTTTTTATTTTTTTTATTTTTTTGCGATTTGATGCGACGCCAAACATACAAGCGAATAACAGCGCAGCCATTGCCACAAGCATGTTCATGTTGGCGGCACAACAACGAGCAGAACATCAGAAATATCAACGAGGGCCGTAAGTGGGGAGTGCTCGACTAGTAAATACTGTCACAATTGAAATTATTGAGCTTGAGTGTGTGTGATTGATATGCATAATATGATAAATGATAAAAGTATATACAAATATCTATGTCTTTCTCTCCCTCTCTCTCTCTCTCTTTCTCTATCTCTCTCTCTCTCTCTTTCTCTCTCTCTCTCTCTCTCTCTCTCTCATATAAGAATATGCACATAGACGCTCATACACACATATACATATATACAAAGACTGCTACTTCAGGCGCCGCCCGTTCCTCGGTTTTGCAAAGGCAATTTTTCTTTCTTTCTTTAGCTTCTTAATATGTGAGCTGCATTCTCGAAATAACTTTGTGACATGAAGCTTTAATATATTGTATATAAAAATAAATATTATCTAACGTTGCATAGTTTTATTGTAATTTTTGATAATTCTAACAAGTTTTAACATAATATAGTTTGATGAATCCATGCATCAATAAAATAATTACATATCGATATCAACATCTGCATTGCACTCTACCCCATTGACAATGAGTTGAGGGTATAGAAAACAGCTAACCTTAATCAGAGTGCGCTGCTCGTAGCTGGCATTTTCAATTTTTATAATGGCATGTCAGCTCCTGCTACTCCTGCTGCTGCTGCTCCTCCTGCTGTTCCTAGTGGTGATGCTGCTCTTGCTGTTGCTGCTGGCTTTTTATGGCCGCATTCAGCATTGAAGCTTTGCGCATTAAATTGAAAAATATTTTTGGAAAATTGCGCGGCTTCGCGCGCCAAGATGCTTGGCCCCTTTGTCAATTGCATCAGTTTTGCAGCAATTAATTAGCATTGGCGAATGTCTTGCCCGTTGTCACTTTTGTGCGCGAGCTTTCAGTCAATGGCCGAGGTCGAGTCGAGGCGCAAAGCATAACTAATTAAAAGTTCTTTGTTGGAGTGGCATTCTAAACGTCTGGGCCAACTTTCACTTCGTATTGGAATTTATTGGCATTCGCTGGGAATCAGATTTTCTGGCGAGCAGCGAATAAAGCATGCTCTATAAATGAATTATAGCTTTAATTAGGTATTCCTAATAGGCATTTCGAATTATGCTCTGCAGTGCATTTGATTTTGTCATGTCGCTGTTGTTGTCATTGGTGTAGCTTCTTTCTTTTTTTTTTTCCTGCACCATGGTTCATCAAACATCCAGCCATTGGGACATTTCAAAATTGATTTAAAAAACTTTTTTAATTAATTATGATGAGGTCTAAGTGCGCGATGTGGGGTGTTAGTCGATGCCAGCGTCAAAGTCGCCAATCCGCTGCCAGCAGATCCAGCGCCAGGCTCCCCCACACAGCCTCGCCCACATTTACAATGCTGTTGGCGTTGCTGTCGAGCTTCTTGCTTTGATGCTGCAAATGATGTTCAGAGTTGAGTTGAGCAATTTTTTTTCTTTTTTTTTTTATATTTCATTCGTTTCTTTATCATTGGAATGTTTGAGTTTTCACATTTCAATTTCTGGTATTTTGGAGCTCTGTCACTTTTTTTTTTCTTCAACCAACAACTTTGAGCTGGCTGTGTGTGTGTGAGTGTGTGAGTGTTTTATTCGTGTGTCTCAAAGTTAAAATTAACAAAAATTGGGCAAAAGATGCTGTCGGGGTGTGTTACCGCCCCTCCCTACCCGCGTCTTTCTCACTCTTTCTCCGGCTCAGTCTCTCTTCAAACAAGTTTTGTATTAATGAAATTGCAAATACTATGTAAAACTTTGGTACATGTTTCTTTATAAACTGTCAAACTAATAGACTGAGTTTTGGCATGTCGAGTCACTGCCTGTCCCCGGTTCGGTCGGTTCAGTTCGGTTCGGTGTCAGCACCGACAGAAGCGACTGTCAGTCGAACACACAGACACACAGACACACACACACACACTTGCACACTTACAGACAGTTGTATTGCTGCCTTGCTGGCAGTCCTTGCAGTCGGTTGGCCTGTTAGTCTGTCATGTTATAACTGCATAGCTGGGACCTGCACTGCACTGCACTGCACTGCATTGCATTGCCACTGTACTGTACTGGAAATTTTACAACGTCCTCCATACAGGAGCCAGCGCACTGGCCTGCCATGTGCGCAAATATTGGAGCAACTTTCTGCAGCAAAGTTTGCAAATGTATTTCAATGCATAGAAATGAATCTAATTTGTAAAATTTCATACAACAGTTGAAAAGTTATAAACGCGCACTCTGCACACGGTTTCGCCTGTCGCACCATTGCCCGACTCAGTCACTTACTCTATATAGAAATACATATATGTATATATATTATATATATT